ATATATATATATATATATATATATATATATATATATATATATATATATATATAACTGCCATCTCACCTTGCCAACTGTCATTGCAGACACAGAGCTTTTCTCCAGTGAGGTCGCAGTATCCGCGATCAGGACTGCCACAGTCATCCCAGCAGTAGCGAATATCACAGGCCTCACCTTTCCAGTACCGCTCACACTCACAGTAAACACTGCTGGAGATTGAGTTACCCGTGGTGCACCTTCCATGACCCGAGCAGTTATTAGGACAAGAGTTGATCCTAAAAAAACACAGCAGTACAAAGTAATCAGAAAAAAATTATGAAAGAGAATAAATTGCACAGGAAAAAAAAAAATACTGAACACATGAAGAAAGGCAGTGAAAGCCCAGACAGCAGCTAGAAGGCAACCTTTTGTAGTTAGAAAGCAACCTTCTGGTTTTTGTCATTGTAAATAAATATTAGCTGCTTCAGCCCAACATCTACATTTCCAGGAAGATTAAGATGAATCCAGGGTGGACATTTCAGCTAGACAATGATGTAATGATGACACATTGCAGTGCATCAGTACTTTCTCCTTGTGTAAATCCATTGTTATTACATATAACTCATTTTTCAGATTTTTGTTTTCTTCTATTTTTACATTTGTATCGTTTGGGTTTTTACCAAAATCTGGATGAACTGCATGTCAACAGCTCCTTTAGAAATAATATTCCCAGGAAAAAAAACATGACATGTTCAATACTTATTTCCCGCACTGTATGTATTTACACATATACACATGTACAATCCTCACAAATAATACCATATACCATCTAGCAGTACTCACGAATAAAAGATGTTGAATCCTGTGAGATTGTAGGCAGCGTCACTGAAAAAGTGCAACAATGCGTACCCAGATGTGGTCACAACTTCTGGGATGGTTTCATTTCCTTTCGTTTCTGGGACAACCAGGCCACTAGACATGCAAGAAAACAACACACAGGCCCTTTTTACATACGGTGGTAAGATACAGTTTTGTCAGTCTGTTGTTTATATGTGAAATCCCTTAATACACTTGTAAATGTGACTGAAATATTATGTGCTTGTACAATTTTGTACGGTGGCTGAGAGAGCTTAACGCTAGGGATGAGCAAATTTCCCGGTTAATCGACATGTGACAACACCAGTAATACCAGAATCACCATGGGGGTGGGGGGTTCCTGTTTTCCTCTTTTTTCTGCTTTTAAATAGCGTATAAATGTGTGCGTATAATACTTTCGCTTTCAGTTTTGCAGGAATTGCCAATTGATACAGTTCAATAACGTGGTGCGCAGTATGACTATTGACCAACACCTCCCAGTAAGTTTACAAACTGCATACACTACAGCTCTGGTGTGTTATGTTTTAAATGCCAGCAAGACATGCTACACTTAGTTTTTATTGTAAAATAAACATTATATCCCAGTACACAGTAAAATAATATTTATTAAATGGCTTGCCTATTGGCGGCATATAACCGTTAAGCTTAAATAGGCCAAACATATTTTTATTAAAATTCAAAACACATTAATACAAACTAGCCACTCTTTGAATTTATTCGTTTCCGTACATGTTTTATCAAACAAAAAATGCAATGAATTGTTTATTTTGGTTTACATTTCATTAGAATTAATATAATCATTAGGCGACACAACTTCAACATAACATTGGCTCTGATTGCGTTTTTACAGATATTCTACAGATAGACTTATTGACTTAAAGACATTTATGCTTGTTAATTTCAGTGCTGTATTTTGACAGATTTCGCAAAAGCTTCAGCTATTCTACCTGTCAGCTGGTACCAGCCTCATTTTTGCGACTTGATTTGTGTGGCGTCTGTATTAATGTCTGGATGATAGTGAGAGCGAGAGCAAGAGAGAGAGAGATCAGACCTCAGATTCAATGTGTGGCCGCACGTCAGAGTTACTTTACTGCAAATGTTTATTATATGTTCATCTAAATTAACTTTTCGATTAAAAGCTGAAATATTTTGAAGAGAGCGGCTTCAGTGATAAAATACGCACACACACATACAGGATACACTCTTGTTGGCCTATTAATCATTGATTTTTTAACATTAAACGCATAATAATCAAGTGCAAAAAAGAAGTGCTGAACTTCTGAAAAAATGATTACTCCAGTTGCCACAACAGTTGCTTTGTTTCTCTGCAGTTGGCTTATAAATCAATCTTGTTTTAATAAAAAATAAGTTTATTTATTATTAAACATTGTGAGATGATGGTCGCGTAATTTTTAAAATGAGAATATGCGTTGCATATTTATGGCTATTGATCTTATCTACCCGCGACCCACCCATAGTTAAACATCAAGTAGGTGCGTTGAAGGTCCGTGTATAAACTGCATTTCCTCCAGATGCTACCACCTTTGTCAGGCAAAGTTTGCAGATTGCCTCATTAACGTTTTCAGGTTCTCTTTTTGCATTTGGTTTGAACCCAAAATATTGCCAAACAGGCGCTTTTGCACTGCATTTTGACACTAAATGGTCCACCATTTTATTTCTGAAGTTTCTGTAAATTTGACTCTTCTCCTTCTCCTCGCATGATAAATGAAATATGACGTATTGTAGCTATGTTCAGATTTTAATTATAGTGCATACTCTCGTCTTAAGTAAATGTTTTCGAATTTTAATTTCCATTTAATTCAAATAAATATTTAATAATAATTAAAAAAAACAACTACCTAAAAAAACAAATGTGTGGACGGTTTCACCGGTGTTGGGTCTTAAAACCGGTAACACCGTCAACAATGATCTTCATCAATTTGACAGCACACGTGTTGCAAATTGGTCACAACACAAACAACTGAAGAAACACGCTGCAAATTGGTCACGACGCTTGCAAATATCCACGTAGCACAACGGAAATGTTTCAAGGGGACCCAAAAACATGACAGACCCTGCTGAGATAGTCTGCTCGATTGCTGGATGCACATATGCCAAACAAACCGCGCTAAAGTTAACAGTTAGCTAGGAAACATGTCAGGTTCTGAAACAAAAATCTAGGTGTGAAAGCACCCTAAATCCTGGTTTATACTTCTGAGTCAAGTGACCGGCGTAACCCACGGCGCATGCAACGACGTAGCTGTGCATTTATACTTCTGTGCGCAGTCTTTATTGGTCTGCATTAACACTTTCGAAACGCTAGTTGGCAGTGAGGTGTTTATGTTCCTCTGTGTCGAGTTTCTTCGCTGCTGTTTTGTTTTTTCTGAATGCTTCCTGAATGTACAAGTGGCTCAAACTCGCTCATGTTAAGGCAGGAACCACCGGACATGCAACATCTTTAACTATGCGGTAAAAACGAAACAAAACTTAGTTACATTTTTGAGAGGTGCATGTCAGCGATGCAGACGGCAACGGAGTAGGTATATGCGTCGACGCGTAGGCTGCGCCGTAGCATACGCGTGCGTTTGACACAGGACACATCAGCTTCTAGGGATCACCACCTGAATGAGGTTGTCTCAGCTCGATCAAAACAAACTCTGGAGCGGATCGATTGTAGTGAGAAAGTAATACGATCCGAGCCCGGCTATATCACAGTATATGGATATAGCCATATGATTATTGATATGTAATAGGCATACGCTATGCGTTGCATGTCAAATACGAAAGTGAAAGCATGCTGAACTATTAACGAGAGTTGTTTATCCGTTAGGAAAATTGACTGAACAGCAGTCTGGGTTTATTTGTTATTTCTCTCTCTTATTAAGCCTATAATGCATAATTCTAGCCAACAGCTATGTATGAAAAAGTCTTACTTCTGATTTATATCTGGTGACGATGTGTGTGGTTGTCACCATTTAAAATTAAAGCACAGCTTTTCGCTTATGTCTTATTACTCATCATCATAAATGAAATAAGGACACATGACAGCTGAGCGGGACTCTGCAAGATAAACTGTGACACTCTTACCAGAGTGAGGAGAGTTTACTCGCACGTGACTTAAGCTAACATTATTTTGGTCCGTTTAGAAAATTTGCCGTGTAAAAGCAACCCACACCAAGAACAAAGTGCAACATTGTAACAATTTTAATCTTTGTTTTGGAACAAAACAATAAATATACAGGTGTGAAAAAACCCAAAGTATATAAAAATAAAGAGAGAAGTAAGCACTTAACAGTTAATATTCACCGCATGCAAAGCTAGCCGCCATCTTAATGTCGGTTAACGTGTTTTAAAAACGCTTGTCTGTCTCTTTACAAGACGTTTTCAAAAAGTACAGATTAGCCTTTAGTACCCACATAACCTTACCTCTGTTTAGAGATTGTTGGACACAAGTGTTTTAGGTGTAAATTACGATCAATGACTGTGAGGTAGAAGCGCCGTTGAAACTGATGCGTTGAACGTGAAAGGACGACGGCAGGTGTTTTTCAGCCACCGGTAAACTTCCGGTGAAAGGTTAACATTGATATATTGTGTATATATAATAACCTTTTATAAGGTTCACTTTACAGCATAATGTTGTACTGTAATTATATTATAATCAGTTAAATATACTTTTTTTTAAATAGACATGTATTTAGTTGTTCAGGAGAAAAAAACAAGATGAAAGAGCAATCACTGTCAGAAGAAACAGACAAGTGCAGAAATTGAATTGAAAATACTGTGTTAAAATAAATAAATTTCCATATTTTAAAAACATGACGCTCAACAATGGGATTTAATTCTGGGCTTCTTGCCCACTCTGATACTTACTTTATATCATATTTCAATCCGGCAGTGAAGTTCACTGATGTTTCAAGAAATGCAGACCTTAAACACAGTGATTTTTTAAAGGAAGTTTACTGGAAGTGCTTGAGCTGAGTTACTGAAAATGAAAAGGTTCATACAGTATAGCCTATTATAAAGGTAACCAATGTTATAAATTAAAATAGATTTGCTAAACTATGTGCTAAATCTAAGACTTTCCAAAATCATGGGTTTATTTGTTTTTCCAAAACTTTTCCATGCCTGAAAAATTCTGTCAAAATACCATGACTTTCCAGATCTTTTATGACAATGCTACACCACCACTGCCCTGGGGCGTGTCAAATTTAGGGCTAAGCACACCTGTTTTAATCAGGTGGAAGACAGCATGTTTACAAGTTTATCACATAAAAATCACATAGAAATGATCTTATTCATAAACACACAGACATACATCGTTCGAGATGTTGGTGTGATCTGAAAGGGTGAATGAATACATTCTCATTGTAGCCTTCATGTAAGTGATTTCAGCATAGCAATATAGTTTCTTCAAAATATAGTCATAGTTGATTTTTGGAGTTAATCAAAGTGATATTGTTCAGTATACTTTTACAGCTTGGGTTGTAAATTTATGGTTACCCTGAATGTCATTTGATTTTACGATTAAATAACTTAAACTAAAGTCCCCTATAAGCATCTCAAATAGCTGCATGTCCTGTGAACATCCCCAATAGCCCAACATCATGGTATCCGGGGGACATTTGCAGAGGCCATTTAGAGGACATCCTGCAGACTTTAGGACAGTAATCTTGAAATATTTAATTTCATGTATCTGTCTGCAATAGCCTGTCCCACTGAATTTAAGAATTTGTCCAAATATTATCTGTGTATGCTATGTCAGTCAGAGGTTTTATTTAGTTTTGTTTCTTTAAATAAGTTTGTATAATGCAATATGGATTATTATTATTATTTTTTAAAATAAGTAGTCCATTCAAGTTTTGTAGAATTTTATTATAGAATGTCAGTCATACTCATTTGCTGTAAACAACCACGGTATGGCACACCTATGTCCCTTGAATGTCTCTGGTATGTCCAGCCACTTTCACATAAACCTTCATACTGCATCCTCCAGACTTCCCACCAATGTCTGTCATATGTGCTCGGGACATCCCTCTAGTGTGGGTGGTAAACTCAACATATGACCCAGGGGAACAAATATGTCTACAAAGACCATTTAGGGGACGTCCCGGGGACATATTTTGTTCGCTGGGTGGTGCTCTTGATTCTGAACTATTAAAGTGCACTAGACTTGTGAATTCAACTTGTTCAATGTCCATTTTTTTTTAAATGCCATAAAAATCCCTAAAGGAACAAAGGTCCAGATATAGGACCAGGTACAATTTATTAAATGGAAATGTTTTTGATTTACATAGCCTCTGCAAATGTAAATCTGATTTACATAGCCTCAGCGATCGCTGCAAATTGCACTTTAATGTTTGGCTTGTCAACTTCATGGTTTGAAAACCTTATATACATGCGAGACATGTGGATGATCCTGTCCCATACAGCTGCCATTGCACGACTCAAAGATACTTTGTAGTGTGCAAGTTAACACAATTGCCTCTAGGAGTCGCCAATGGAAATAAAACAAACACACAAGAAATGCACGCACGCCAGGCATGAAGTTGGCGTGGACCAACAAACATTTTCACGTTCATTTCATTATTAGTAAATCCCAACGTGAGAGTGAAACCTGGCGTACGCAAAGTTTTTGTGCGTACGCAGTGGTACATGAGGCCCCAGGTCTAAACTATAATGTTTCTCCCTCATCTTCTTGTGATCCAAATCAACCAGAAAATACAATTCTGTGTAAACAAGGCTTAAATATAAATAAGGAAAGACTGACTTTGGTTCAAGTTTTAGGACAGCAAACAGCACCAAGAGCAGGACAAAACTTTCCTGTATCAACCTGACTGTCTGATATTCTTCTAATAAACAAGAGGATAAGCTCAAATTCAGGGCTTCAACACAACAAAGTAGACAACCAGCTGGGACTTTCAGACACACCACAGGACACACAGAATCAATGAACCAGACACCACACATATACACAAGTACACAGCAGGTGTGTCCACACAAGGTCCATCTCATTAAAAAGACATCAGAGTCAACACTTCAGAAGAGGAAAAGGAAAAAAATAAGAAATAGTACAAGGGTTGAGAATTCTGCTGTTTGAAAGAGGCTTGAAAATAATGAATGTTTCCAATCTATTGTTTATATGAGAATGTGATTATTATTTGATATATTTCTTATACAAACAATAATAATCAATTTTGTAATAAATAAGAAGCAATGTTGGGTGTAATTAGTTACAAATAGTCCAAATTAGTTCAAATTACTTTTCTGCTAAAGTAAAGTAAGGCATTACTGCTTATTTTTAGATAATTTAATTACAGGTACTAACTAGCCTTAAATATTGTTCATAAATTCAACACTGACAACATCTTTCATCAGCTGAATCACAGCTGGGGTTGCCACAGTGGATGAACCGCCAACTACTCTGCCAATTGTTTTTGATTAGTTGATTTAATTAGACATGATGTGTTCCTGACTTTTTTGTTACACTGAAAAAAAAAGCCTCACTGGAACAACGTAAATAAATTATTTCAATTTCGAAAACCTAAAGGAATGAAGTTTTTCCAACCTATTTATTAATGAAATCCATAATAAATTAAGTGGAAACTAAATAAATTATATAGTTGTAACAAGTTGAAGTAATTTGTTTAAGTTTTTACCTTTTGCAGTGTGCACTTTTTATCATGTTTACTAATGCATAAGTGACTTTTGTTTATGGTAATATGAACTTTGTAGGAAAAAAAACAATGATTTTATTCCTGATATGAAATCATTAAAGACATTATTGGCATTTGTGTCAGGGCGTGTGTATTGCAATAGCATTGATTCCAGGTCCACTCACCTGAACACAGCTACCAATGGTGCGTAAATCGAGTCTCCATCAAACACATACATATGATCCCAGCTGCACTCAGTGGCAAAATGATTAAACCTCAACCTGAGCACAGCGTTTGGGCTGAAATAAAACAGAAAACACATTCATCTGATTCTTAAAAAAGTCTACATGCAATTTTATATTCACAATATCCTCTGATGGAACAAATAAATCATACACTCAAACACTTGTGATAAATAATAAATACAAAATGTACAAAAAAGACTTTAGACTTGATGATACTCACTATCCTTCAATAAGCCAGGTGCATTTAGTCTTGTATTTGTAGTTAACCGGTCCATCAGTGAGTGATCCTGATGACTCTGTCAACCTGAGGAATAAAAAGAGCTCAAAGTGATCTTGATGAAGCAAGAGAGCAAGAAGCAAGAGAGAATGTGGTACAGTACAACATATGTGAATTCACTTGTTACTGTCTTCATGGGACTTAATGCTTGCTTTTATAAAACAGACACCCCAAAATACTTTTATTATGGGTACAATCCTTGCATTAATATGATGCTTTTTAATAATACAATGCTACTACTAGCAAATTAGTTCCTGACAGTAAAAGTAAACAGCAATAGAATATTCATAAGTTCTGATCATAAAACAGAGACTGTACTCATGCCGTTCAGTTTTTACATTTAAACAAAACATTTGAGAGCGTCACGGTGGCACAGTGAGTAGCACAATCGCCTCACAGCAAGCCTTGGCTGGGTCCGTTGGCATTTCTGTGTGGAGTTTGCATGTTCTCCCCATGTTCGTGTGGACAAAGCCGAAAAGAAAATGAAGGAATGAATGAAACCATTTGAATTTTTACCACATACATATGTATCTGCTCATATTTCAACAGTATTCTTGTAGTTTAAACCAGACTATTTCATGGCATATTGCAGGCATCTACACTCAAAAAAAGATTTGTATTATTAAAAATAAGCAGAATCAACACAATTCTTAAATTCTTAATTGTTTTATGTCCAATCTGTTTCAATTTGTAAGAACAATTAGGTTAAAAATCAGTTTGTGTTACGACAACATGAATGAATTGTGGAATCCAGTAACTTAGTGAGTGAACATACATTTTTTCATTCATTTCCTTTTCCTTCGGCGTAGTTCCTTCACTTATCAGAGGTCGCCACAGTGAAATGAACCGCCAACTTATTCAGTATGTTTTACGCAGTGGATGCCCTTCTAGCCACAATCCAGCACTGGGAAACACCCATACATTCTCGCATTTACACGCATACACTCGAACATGGGCTCGAACCAGTGACCTTCTTGCTGTGTGGTGACAGTGCTAACCACTGAGCCACTGCACTGCCGTCAAAAAAAAAAAAAAAAAAATATATATATATATATATATATATATATATATATATATATATATATATATATATATATATATATATATATATATATATATATATATATATATATATATATATATATATATATATATATATATATATATATATATATATATATATATATATATATATATATATATATATATATATATATATATATATATATATATATATATATATATATATATATATATATATATATATATATATATATATATATATATATATATATATATATATATATATATATATATATATATATATATATATATATATATATATATATATATATATATATATATATATATATATATATATATATATATATATATATATATATATATATATATATATATATATATATATATATATATATATATATATATATATATATATATATATATATATATATATATATATATATATATATATATATATATATATATATATATATATATATATATATATATATATATATATATATATATATATATATATATATATATATATATATATATATATATATATATATATATATATATATATAT